ACATGCATTTTGACACTTAGCCATGTCATGCATGAGTGAAATGTGTGTTGTAAGCTTTTGGTGAACTTAGACATGCATTTTGACACTTAGTCATGCCATGCATGAGTGGAATGTGTGTTGTAAGCTTTTGGTGAACTTAGACATGCATTTTGACACTTAGTCATGCCATGCATGAGTGGAATATGTGTTGTAAGCTTTTGGTGAACTTTGACATGCAAGAGTTGCATGTAATTTGCCTATTTAAGAAGGCTTTTGTTCAAACATCAAAAACTCTTGGAACCTTTGGCCATTTGATGTGTTTTCAAAAAGCTTACATAACTCCTTTTAGCTCCACTTTTCTCTAATTTTTTCCTTCTCTAAAAAGAGTCCCACCACTCTATTCCAAGCCTTGAGAATAGCTAGGAAGATCTCTTGGTGGTCCTTCATTGGAGCTATTTGAAGATTTTTGAAAAGCKACAAAGGTTTGTATTTTTCTCTACTTATCTCTAAGCATCATAATGTATGACCATGCATGTTTAATCCTAGGTTGTATTATGCATCTAGATTGTTATTTCAATTCTTGCTCACTTCCGCTGCGCATGTATGTATTTTTTCCATCATAAGAAGCCTGGTCGGTACTACATGTGCGCAAGGAAAGGCACGGGCGGTATAGTCAAGGGGCCGACTTCCATCAAAGGATGGGTAGGTAAGTGGTTCTTTGCCTCTGGAGAGTGGCTGGCAAAGGATGAGTCTGGTCGCGCCTTCTTTGATGTTCCCACTAGGTTTGGGAACTTAGGTATGAAGTCTTTCTTGTTTTCATTCTTTTGAACTTCTTGCCTTTCACATCTAACTTGAATTTTTGTTTGCTTTGTACAGTATCAATTAAGCTGATTCCCGAACTTGCTCAAGCCACCTTCGACACCCTCAAGCACTACAAGGATCACTTCCCAAGGGACCGAAAGATCGTAACCTTGGTCACCGACAAGCTGCTCTTAGAGTCTGGGTTATTGGACTATAACCCTTTAGTTCGTTTGATTGAAGCTTCGAGGCCAAACTCCGAGCTCGGTAAGCCGTGCTCGTTCTCAATCTTCAATTTTAACTTTTTTTTGGTCTCTAACTTTTTGCTTGTTTGTTTTGCAGCAATGGTGTGCGGATTCACTGGCAGTGTGAAGCGCAAGTCCAAAGGTCGTGCTCACGCCCTCAAGACCGTGGTGGGTACTGAACCGGTGACGCCTACGGTGCCACGGACTRAGGCTCAGGGTAACTCTGGGCCATCTTCTGCAGTCCCCACCCCCGTGATCGAGCTAGACTTGTCTGGGGGTCGATCTGGAGAGAAGCGTTCAAGGGAGGAGTCCGAGGCGCTTGACGTATCTCCCCTGAACGAGGTGAGGGGAGAATCTCCTTTGAGGAGAAGAAGAAAGAAGAAGAAGACTTCCTCCTCCTCGGAGGCTGGGGCTCGTGGGACTCTGCCTACGAGTCATGCTGATTTGGTGGATGACCCCGAAGCTCGGATGAGGGGAACATCCAATGTGAGAATGCGGTTCGGGATGGAACCGTCGAGCTCCGGGGTGAAGGACCAGGTGTCCCGCATCTCGGCCACGTGCTTGGACCGCTATCTGAGGAGAGCATCCAAGTTCGTGAGTGATCCTGGGTCCGTACTGCAGAGGACCATTGACAACGTTGCCGAGGTAAGACCTGCTCTTGTGTCATTTTTTACTCTCAATTCTCAGCTTCATCTAACCATCGTGTTCTTTGACTTTCGCAGGCGTTTATCGCTTCCATTCATTTAGCGGTTATGGTCAAAGCCGAACTGGATGGAAGAGAGGCTTTGGCAGCAAAGGAGAGGGAGAACTCCTTTGCTGCTTTAGAGGCTGCCACCACGCTGAAGGGCGAGCTGCTAAAGGCCCAAGGCGAGGTGGATATTTTAAGGGCCGAGGTGGATGCCAAGGTCGATCTCTTGAAGAAGGAGGGTGAGAAACACAAGGCTCACCTCCGAGCAGCCCATGCTATCACCAAGGGGCTAGAGAAGGAGAAATTCCAGCTCCTGAAGGAAAAGGACGACCTTGCTCAAGTCCTTGAGGAGAAGGACGCCTCAATTGGGCGCCTTACGACCGAGCTCAAAGACCTGAAGGAGCGCCTTACCAATGGAACTCTGTTGGAGGAGTCATTCAGGCAACACCCAGACTTCGACGGGTTTGCCAAAGACTTCAGTGATGCTGGCTTCAAGTTCCTGATGAAGGGCATTGCTGCCGACATGCCTCATCTTCAGATCGATCTCAACGGTCTCAAGAAGAAGTATTCTGAGAAGTGGGCTTCTGGGCCTAACGGTACTCCTGACCCCCAATCCCTGGTAGATAAGTACGTCAGGGAGCTGGACTCTGACTACTCCGACATGGAGGAAGAGGATGCCCCTAGCCAAGAGCCTAYCGAGGTCGGCACGACCCAAGAGGAGGTTCCTTCACAGCAGGGCGGATCCTAGGAGGTCAACCTTCTGGGCTCCCAGGGCGAGCTGTCCTCCCACCTCGGAAGTAGCTGAGGCTCTCTTTTCTTATTTCTTTTGTAAGTTTTTTTGGACAGAGCTGCAAGGTATATAAGCCTTGGCTCTGTCCTTTTAATCAATGAAATTGCCTTTCTCCACTTYTGTTCTTTTACTGCTTTTCCCTTAATCTTTTTAAACTTGCTTTTGTAAGCTGGAACTGATCTATGAATAATTTCCATCTCGCACCTCTTAACTCGTAAGTTTGAAGGATTGAGTGTGAGATACTTTTTCRCATCGCACCCTTAAGGTTTGAATCTGAGTTTCTTTAATTGGTCCTTAATATTTCTCCTCAAACTCAGAAGTCCAGAAGATAATACTAAGCAACAATTTGAACTTCCTACATCGCACCTTTAACTTGAACGTTAAAAAGGTTGAATTTTTAGTCCATAATTAATATTCACATCGCACCTCGAACCCGTGGGTTTAGAGGACCGAATTTCCTGAACCTTCAACATCGCACCTCTAACTTTAACATTCAAAGGATTGAATTTTGGTTCGTAATTGATTTTGACATCGCACCTCTAAACGTGGGTTTTGAGGATCGAATTTGATCAATTTTTGCCCTTACCTTGCCGATTTTAAGTCTTATGAGAGTCCGTGGCCCCCATTTAATTTCTAATCGAACTCGGAGYTATGAAATTAAATCACTCCATTTATTAAAAGTTCTGCCCCTTGAAAATTTTTACAAGCCCCTTTTAGGACTATTTTGACATTTCAGGGGTAATAGCGCTTCAAGTGCTCCGCGTTCCATGGATGCGCAAGCACTCTTCCTTCCAGGTCGGCCAGCATATAAGTTCCAGGTCGGACTATGCCTTTGACCTCGAACGGTCCCTCCCAACTTGGGTCAAGGGTGCCCACATGACTCTGGACTCTCCTTAAGACCAAATGTCCAACTTGAAAGCTTCGAGGTCGAACTCGGGCATTGTAATGTCTGGCCATTATGTTCTGATACTCTGCTAGGCGCAGCTGAGCCATTTCCCTCTTTTCTTCCAATAAGTCCAGGTTAAGGAGTAGCTCTTCTTCGTTCTTCGCTGGCTCGTATTGCTCTACCCTGTCTGTTGGTATGCCGATCTCGACTGGTACAACAGCTTCGGAGCCAAAGGCTAGCGAGAACGGAGTTTCCCAGGTTGACTCTCTCGGGGTGGTTCGATATGACCATAATACTTCAGGCAGCTCCTCGGAGCTTTTCAGGTCGCTTGAGGAGCTTTTCCATCCCGCTTTCCTCGATGTTCGTGAGTATCTTGGAGATGGGGATGGTGGTTGGGGTATACCGTTCATAAGGTCGGCTCCGGCTGGGGCCGCTCTCCGACCTACGATACTTGGTTCAGCTGCCGGAAGAGGACGATCCCTTGTCTTTAGACTTAGAATCAGCCTTCCTCTTCTCTTGGTTTAGTTTCTTCTGGTCGATCTGCTTCTCAGGTCGGTCAGTTTTGGTTTGGAGGAGCTCTTGCCCATCAATGACCTTCTTCGCCTTTTGCAGGACTTCAGCGAAGGTTGCTGGAGCTTCCTCTCCGAGCTTCACAGTGAGGTTCTCATCGGCCAGGCCGGTGAGGAAGTAGCACATGGCCGAATCATCGGAGCAGTGCGCGACCTTCAGCTGCTCCTCCAGGAACCTTGTGACATACTCTCTCAGCGTCTCACCTTCCTTCTGTCTRATGGTAGCGAGGTGAGTCGCTGTCTTTCTATCGTAATGCCGAGAAGAGAATTGACTAATGAATTCTTTTCTCAGTTGAGAGTAGGTCGAGATCGACCTTGCCGGCAGTCTCCGGTACCACAGGCGTGCGCTGTCGGTAAGCGCGATCTGGAAGGCGCGGCATTTAATTGCATCTGTTGCCGCTTGAAAGTCCATGAGGCCCTCGAAGACCTCAACGTAGTCCTTTGGATCCTTAGACCCATCATAAGGTTTCATGGTGGGAGTTTTGAACTTCGGAGGGATTGGAGCCTCCAAGATGTCCGAGGTGAATGGCGATTCTCCCAAGTCGCCATCGTCGAACGAGCACTCTTTCTTCTCGCATCTGGCCTTGAGCGCCTCAACCTGCTCGTCGAACTTGTGCTTCATCAGGTCGAATTCTTCCCTGGTGATCACAGCTTCTG